CAATAGATGTCTTATTATTTTATGATAAATGTAAGTGACGCATCTTTTAATCGATATGTTAGTATTTTTGAGTTGTTATTAAAAAAAAAAAACCTCTACGTTAGCGTATAGAGTGGTATGTTGCTCGCACCAATCAGATCGCCGCATTTGGATAAATATCTTGCACTTATTAGATCGCGGTGTTAAGGTATGTCTTTCGCACCAATCAGATTGTCGTATTTTGACAACTCGCGCTAATCAGTCTTCAAATTTCAACGAATCAACGGGCGATACGGAGAGAGCGATCACCATTTAGATTGATAAATGCCGGCTTTTCTGTCTTTTTAACGTGTATTTTACCGCGCTTTTTGGGAATAATGCGATACTGCTGGACAGATAAAAGACAACAGATTACCAAGAGTAAACGTATTACTCATGCTGTGAAAATGGAGAATAGTTCGAGAGAAAATGGAGTTCTCTTCATTGCAGTACGATCACGGTGATTCTTCCCTCTCGACGAGAGTGAGTGGAATGAGCAGTTCTTTAACGGCAAGCTGTGTTGCAAGATTCATGATCTGTTGAGTGTGCCGATTATACTTTTCTGGAATTGGTTTGCTCGGTGCTATCTCTAAATGAGTGGCTTGTGGACAGTTTTGTCGCCTCGTGTGACAAGGTCATTGACTGATAAGCCATCTTAAGAGGTCTTTTTATTGAACAACGATTTTTATAGGAAATATGGCCGAGTTTTCTCTCTGGTGGTGTTATGAGCAATTTTTGTAAATATAAGCTTCTAGAAATCTCCAGACTCCTCAGCCATGCTGACTTGCATACCGTAGAACTTTCCAGAACATTTCATCAAGTCACGCTCCTATTACGTAATACTACTAAAGTAGTTCTTATGTAAACTTCTGGAATGTTCCAGAACATTTTGTGAAAATATATAAAGACTTACTTATATAGTAATAGTGGTAGTTGTTGTTGTCGGAGCGACATCTGTTTTGAAAGCTATATCGAGAGAGAGTTACTGCGGAAGAT